ATCCTTTTAAACGGTCTTGTTGGCACAGGATATGGTACTCCTGCAGAGAGATTGTACGGAGATAGCTTTACACCGCAAACCCAACAACAACAACCAAAAAAAACGACCCGCCAAACCCGTACCGAACGGAACCTTTAATGAGCCACAACCCTAAACCCCTAAACCCTAAACCTGTGTAACCTTTCATGAGGATGGAAAAAAACAAAATTAAACAAAAAAGCAAAGTTGACCTGGCCTTTGGTTCCTCTGGCGGATCGGGGCCTGGCCCTTGGGCACTCCAGAGCTTTTGTTCTCTCTCTCGGTCTAAGATTAAAGTCTAGGGTTTAGGGTTTTTTTCCCTCTCGCAAGCCATGGCTAGGGTTTAGGGTTTAGGGTTTTGGGTTTAGGTTTTTTTTGCCTCAGCGAGACTCAGAAGCTGACCTGTGCAGGACCGTTCATCGAAAAGTGTCCCCCCCAAGAGTTGTGGAATAATGCATGCCGAGCCTGTAGCAAGTCGGTTGAGAAGGCTTATATAACCTCGAAGCGATAAGGAAGAAACCGAAACAGTGAGGAAAGATGATGTGAAACCAAAATCATGCATCGAACGCTTGGCTAGTGTGTAGTTGTGTTTGAGTCTGGATCGTGGTCGCCGCTGTGACAGATCTGAGCTCGTGTTCTGACCGTGTTCCTTTTCATTTCGATTGCTTCTGCGGGTCTGTTCTGTCGGCGCTTGCTGCTTCAAAACGGAATCTTTGGGCCGTTCGCTCAAAAGGTTCAGGATCTGCGACTGAGCCACAACCCGAAGAGAAGGATAATAAGGATCAAAAACAGGGTAATGCCCTCGAGAGAAATCGCCGAAAAATTGCCCCAAGCACGAGGAGCTACTGAGTCAGGAGGGCAAGCAGCCTCTGAGACACTGCCGGAACAGCCCCTGTAATTAAGCATGAGAATGAAACCCCCAAAGTCGTTTAAACCAATGGTGTCTAGGCTTTTTTATAAAGCCTAGACACCATTTGTAAAATAGTAGCCCTTGCTCCCTCAACCCTAAAGCCTTCTGGAATCCTTTGAAGAATCTCCCCCCACCCCTTAAGGCCCCCCAACCACCGAGTTTCCTGATCTCTCCTCAGGCAGCTAAGCAGCCGCCAGCAAGACGGGAGGAGACTGCCAGGGAAGCCATGGATGCCTTGCCGCTCCGCTTTTCTTGGTGCTTCACTTGGGTTCTCTACGGCGTCCTTCAAGGCTTCTCTTCTGGGAGGGCTCTGCTACAGCGTTCTACAAGGCGGCGTTGGGGGGGGGGGTTGGGCCCTTCGGCTAGGGCTTGGACTCCCGCGACTCGAACGATGCAGGCGAGAAGGCAGGCACATGTGGCCCGGTATGTCGGTTCAGAAACTCCTCGTCTTAGGGCCAAAACTACTTTCCGGACCCAACCAACACATACAATTCATACAAAGCAGAAGGGCACGTCGCAACTCAAGCTTGTTTATCCTCTCCTCTAGGCTGTCGCTATGTAGGCTTTTAGAGGGTCCATATCACGGCCACAAGCGGGCAAGGTGTATCTCTCATATGTGTTGAACCTTCAAGTGACTCAAGGCGTTCTGAAACAGCAGGGTTTCTAGGCCTTCTACTGGCGGCCTGGGGTTTACAGTCTCACAACTCAGACAAGCCAGGCGAGGATCCATTGAAGGGCTCTGCAAGGCTTCTTGAGGTGTCCTCTCAGGCCTGTTTAGGAGCTCACTAAAGGGTTCTAAAGGGCTTGGGGATTCGAGAGTTCAGTGGTAGTTTAGGGTTCGAGTTCTATTTGGGTCTTACAAGCCTTACCCAAAATCACTCAAGGTCCTGTGTTGGTGCTCGTCGGTGTTCTGTCTTTGGCTTCTACGGTTTTGCAGCATGTGAAAAGACAGCTAGCTGGTGGGCCTGTCTGCATTCGCGCATTAACGTAATGATGGTACTACCAATTAATATCAACCAACGTTTGTACTTAAATTTTTGAATCCCCAAACCCGAAGCCGCTGGAAGCCCTCAGCAGGAATGTGTTGACCAGGATCGGCTAGATTGGGGATGATGCAAGTTTACGGCACATGTTCTCAATTTCAGGGACTTCTTGGGCAGCACGGTCAGTCTTAGCTTCATGCCTGTACAACTTCAATTGGTCCATACAGTATCCCGGCTCAGCACGCTGATGACCCGGGTCTCGGGGTTCAGAAGATTTCAGAAGAGCCTTCATGCGCACTGTTTCTGGCCAATTAAACCCGAAACCCCAAACCATGTTCTGTTTGGTTTCGAACCGCCGCAGACTCAAAATCTGAAGCACCGGGCGAAGCAAAGATTGAGCTCCGGACGAGCGCATAGTTTGTGCAGGGTACCTTCAAGAATTACGTTAAGCACCCGATCGAAGATACCCTTTGGAGATTCTGATTTCCCCTGTCATGCGAAACCACTTGACTGCTCACCGTGATGTCAAGGCTGTAACGGAGTAAACATCAATAGGACAGGGGTGGCATTTGCCGGTGGTCAGAGAAAGTCCCACACTTGCTCAAGCATGAAGCAGTGCCGACATAGCCTAAAGCCTCAACCCTAACCGATTAAGAAGACTCGTTCTGATGGACCCTCGAATCTCGAACCCAACCCTTCGGGTCAAGATCTTGCAGCTGGGAAACGGAGAGGCCATTCAGGTCTCTCGTCGTCGTCGGCCAGCTGCGCTGCCTCAACAGCACGGGCACTCTACAAGCCAACTGATTTGGATTTGCTAGGGCACAGCGATTTCCGGCACTCGAAGTGCACAGGGTTTTTGAGTTAAGCCAGAGCCCAACCACACGGGAAAGCCTGACCCCTAGACAGCCTCATCTTCGAGTGGCCGAGCATCCTTGTTGCCTTATGTTGAAGGGCTCTACACTGAGACAATATAGAAAAGCACCGACAAGCTAGCCAAAGAATTGAGCACATGGGAGTGCCTGGTGACAGCCACTGCGCCCCCAAGGATTTGCAAAACGAGCCCTCAAGCCGGAACGCAACAACGCCGATCAAGCCCCGAACTTTGAAAACTGTGTGTGTCGTGCACCTTGGAGCCTGAATCAGAAGGCCCACGGCCCCAAACACCGTAGCAACCCTATGAGTTCAAACCATCACATCCTGAACCTCAACGGACACCTCACACACTCTGGGACACTAATCACACCTAAACGAAACTCCCTATCAAGCCTCAAGGGTCCGAAATTCACCTAAAAAATCAGGCGTTTTCAGCTTTGGAATCATCGGTCAATACATCGGGCAGGGCATGATATTTTCTTGGGGAGGGCTAGCGGCTAGCAGATGCTAGCAGCATTGAATCCAAGAGGCCTGGACTGATCATCCAGAATGCCGGGGCCCACGAACTTCTCCAAGGACAGCATGGCTTGGACAAGCCCTCTGAACCCTCAACCTTGTCTTACATGTCCAGCCTGATAGCCCTGATAGCCCTGAAGCCGCAGCCAGAAACTGTCAAGCTTTGGGGCCAGGAGGCTTCTCCGGTCCGCTAGCTAAGGTGACGATAATTATCCATAAGCCACGAGCCAACCTGCAGCATGCGACATCGAAAGCAGTTCTGACGGTGTGCCGATGTGTCCTTCACGAAAAAGCTCATCAGGAGAGCATATCTCGCTTGCGTAAGCACTGCTTGTATTCGGCTAACAGCAAACATATCAGTATACTCCTGACGCACAGACAGAAAAGGGCACATGACACTTAAGACGAAAGATGGCAACAAGTCCAACGCGAAAGAGGGGCATCAACACCTAAAAGCAACGCTCTCCTTCCTGAATTGCTGATAATTGCGATGATCTTCACAGTCCTTTGCGACGAGTCATTGGTAATGAAAAGCATGATGGCGAGGATGAATGCGGACCGACAAGGCAATGAAAGTGACAGCGATAACGATGGCAAGAAGTGGCATAGCCGGTATCAGCACCGTGCCTTTCTGTTGGGGCCCAGCCAGATTTTGATCATCCTACCGGCGCACCTTTTTTCGACGACTGCAAGGGTAGGAAAACGATATTCACCGCCTTGTAGCTGGCAAGCCCAGGAGGTCCAAGCACCTCTGAAGGGCGAGGGTTGGCGGGGCCGGGATATGCAGTAGCACGGACCTTCGTCTCGGGTTAACTGTGCCGGAGGCCCTTTCTAAAACAGTGGAAAACATGTCAGGAACACAGGGGTCGTGCTCACTTGACTTTGGCTTCGGCGTATGTTCTGCTAACACTATTGAAGGATTATACAACAAAAATCGTCATAGCATTTCTTCAGAAATCCATGCTGCCTAACCGTGGCTTGCAAAGAAAGGAGCGGAGGTCGATAGCCAACATGAGGGCCGGAATAATCAGTAAGACTATTTATGTCTTTTAAAATCTCTAGGTACTTGTACTATACGCAATCACCTGCATTGAAGGCTTCCTTGGGACTCAAGTTGAAAGTAGGGGCCGTGACAGTTAGAACGGGCTTTGGGGCTTTGGGGTATACATAAATATATATATACACACACACACACATATATATATATATGGGGACATGGATTCCTCGGTCTCGGAAACCGCCCATTCCAGTTGCAGTCGGAGATAAACGGCGATGAAATTAATTACTTTGCAGCTTCTTAAGTTGAACGTTTAGGCCCTAAACCCTACAGTAAACCCTAAGGCATAAGGATGTGTGGCTGTGTAGGGAGACTGGATGAGGCCCCTGCGCCCCGCTAGCTATTCTCAGGGGCCTAAAGCTGCTGGTCTCAGGGTCAAAAGAGTGGACGGCAGTTCTGACAGAGTCTGCCCTTGAGCTTCTGTAGCTTCTTCCCCAGGTGGCATGTGCTGGGCGATGACGTCTGCAGGGTTTTGGACATCTAAGGAACGACCCATCAGCATCTTGCACACCCTCACGAGACAAAAGAGCATCCAAGTATAACGTTTAGCGGTGTTTCATGAGACCCTAGTTCAAAAAATCGTAAAAACCTTCAACCCAACAACCCTGCAACCGCGGCGGTCAACCCTATACTGGAGTCGGCCTCAGAGCGGGCTGTTGGCCGCCAGCTCTTTTGCAGCTGCGTCGTTGGACACCTTGCGTTGGGTTATTTTGTTGTCTGTCAGTCCTTTTCCCTCTTCTCCACTGTGACTTTGGGACGTTCTGACAGTGACCTAGGTGTTGGGGTGTAGGGCCGTGTAGGGGTTAGGGCTTTCAGGTTAGGGGTCTTCGGCCCTGTCTGTAGGTTGGCGCTTGGGGTTGTAGGCCTTATGGCCTAAAGCATGTTGGGCATTGGGGTTAGGGCTTCAAGACTTTAGCATGTCGTGAGGTCCTGGGGTTAAGCGCGGTCTTGGCACGGGGTGTGGAGAAGATGCTTCAAATTGCATCGTGTGATTGGTCGAAGTCATTTTCCCAGTAAGCTTGGATCATTGAAGGTGCTGACAACTTGCAGAGCAAGGAGCAATCTTGTCGATCAGGATGCGTACAGAATCCTCGCTCGAGTCATCCAGACCAATCACCAGCCGATGCGCCAACTCGGGAGAGAAAGGGTTGATCTTTACACATCACAGGGCAGGCTTCATGTTGCATGGGGCTTTCGGGGAGGCTCTTTCCTCGGCAAGATGACAGACGAACAACCACGGACACGAACGTCATCAGGATGAAGGCAGTGATTTAGCTGTGTCGACAGTAGCATCGTCGTCGTCGTTAATGCCTTCGGGAGTCATTTGCGCAATAGTGGTAGACGTGGTGATGGTCGTCGTAGTATAGGCAACGGCTGCAGCTAGGGACAGCAGTGTTACTGTATCTTAAACATGGGTGGCCACGCAGATGATGAATCATGTTGTGCTACATCTCCTGCAGGGGCAGCAGAATCATTACTCATGTGGGTATAGCCATTTCCTATAGGTACGGCAACTGCAAGGGAGACCAACGTCACAGCCACCTTCAAGCATGCAAGTTCTATGAGCGGAAAACCAATGACAGTAGTAATACGCTGCTATAGGCAAAGGGCGCAGCCTCATGGTCACAAGCAGCACCGCATCATCATGGCCCACACTAACCTGCAACCCCTCAACCCCAAAGAACTCCGAAAACAGTGGGTTGGAGCCACACGATATATACTCTGACCTACTTCTCTAATGCCCTTCTGTCTGGAGGATGAAAAGGTTGGCCTTTAGGCCTTTAGGGTTCTAAAGTGCTGTGCTACCTACCCCAAGAAGGCTAGAAACCACCTGCACCAAAAAAAAGCAAGCTTCTTAGTCTTGAAGGTTTCAGCGGGTTGTTGCAATGAAAAGCCTAAGCCCGAAACGCATCTTGAAGTCCTAAACCCTAAACCCTTTAAGGGAGGTCTGGGCCAGCCTGGGCCAGAGCCTCTTGTTTGTTGCGGACCTCCTCCTCCGACAGGCGCGTCAGGATGTTCAAGATCCTGGGGGTCCAAAAAAAGGGGGTTTCCGAAAATAGGGGACCCTAACATAGTACTTTAAATAGTAGGATCCTTATTGTAAGGACCCCAAATAAGGTACCCCGAATTGTCGGAAAGTCCCATATGGGTGTGTGTTGCCTCTATATGGGTGTTTTCCCTCCCACATAGCAAGCTCTACAAGCTCTACATGGGTGTAGGGTTTAGGGTATTTAACTAGGGTATATAGGGTTTAGACTCTCAGTTCGATCCCTCGAAACATCATAGGTCTCAGATAATCCAAATTTCTGTTCTATTGCTCCTGGACGTTTACAAGGACGCCTGACAAGAAAACCCTGCTTCAGTTTGAAGCCCATCTCGAATCCAGAAGCGTCTCTTTCTTCATCGCCAAGGGACGGCGTCGGCGAGGGGAAGAGCCTTCTTTGTTGCTGCGCTCGTTGAACACTCTAGGGCTGTAGGGTTTCGGTGTATAAGAAGCGACGGACTCAGTTTTAGAGATCATTTGGGTAACGATCTGACTTTGGAGGTGATGATGGTTTGGTTGCCGCAAGACTTCCAGGATGCGAAGACCATCTCCTCAAGCCCTGGAAGCCTCTGCTACTCTCTTGTATCAAGCAATGACTACACTGAAAGACGATAAAGGATCCCTCCCCAAATTGAAGCATGTTCGAAAGGTTAAGAGGTGTAGTCTGCTTTTGGAAAGTGCCAGTCATGAGGCCTCTTCACTTGGTCCCAGCGCTCTTGCTGGGAGAACTGCGGGTGGAGCGCTTCCAGTAGTGCCGAATACTCGGGATACAGCTTCCTTGGGACGCAGAAGGTTTAAGGCTTTGACAGTTTATAGGGATTTATACTTCAAAGAGCTGTACTCTATGGGTCTTATAGGCAACTTTACTGAAAACTGTGCTACACAAGGCCAGGAGGCGGCAGAGGATTCTAAGATCATGGGCGGGGGGTTGCAGGGCTTCCGGGACGAGGAAATTGCTCTAACTCTAACCAAATCCAGATTGGAGTTCTTATGTAAACCCCACATGTACAGAGCAGACACAACCGCAATCTCAACACCGCAAAACCCCCTGTGGACCAGGACAGAGGCGCTGAAGCCGCCGCATCTTCTTGTTGATGCTGCGCTTCGTCTTGCCTCCATAGGTGCCTTGCGGGGTCTACAGGGCCTTGCGAGGTCTGCAGGGCCATGCTGACCCTGGCTGTGGGTTTTGGTGGCTTGAGGGTTTGGGGCCTCAACGAGCTTTTTGTTGCTGGATACCCTTGAATTTATCAGTGAATCAACCTGAGCATGAAATGAGCAATTCAGGAAAAAAGGTAAAGTTCTCGGCTTTCTCGGATCCTCTGTTCAACCTATGCGCTGTGGCTTTGGGTCAAAAAATTTCGGGCAATGATGAAGCCGGCACCGAAGACCCAGCAAGGCTCGAACCAACAAGACCGTTTAGGGTTTAGGGTTTAGGGGTTTAGGGTTTAGGGTCCTTGGCATTTAGATCAACCCTGAAACCTCAACCCTCAGGCCTTCCAAAGCAACCTCAAATCCTAAACTCTCTAGGATCTGGGCCCGAACAACGGCCCCCTAGTAACGCCGCAACTTTTTGGTATACCCAGAATGAAACTGAGTTGAAAAGGAACATCCAACAAGTTGCCGATGGCCCATATCGACGGGGTGACATTGCCACCCAGGACCTCTGTCTCCTGCGGCCAGCTTGGAGGATAACATGCTGGGGGTTGACTTAGGGCTTCGGGGGTTTCGGGCTTTAAGGGGTTTAGAGGCCTTTAAGGGGTTTAGGGGCTATAGGGCCTATAGAGGTTTAGGGCTTTGAGGGGCTTAGGGTGTACTGCTTCAGGCTTCCATTTTCGTTGGGGCGGGGGTTAGGGCTTAGGTTTTAGGGTTTTGGGGTTTAGGGCTTAAGGTTTAGTGTTTAAGGGATTTAGGGAATGAGGCTCAGGAGGTACGGAGCAAGTACCGTTACGTTTATAATGCAAAAAAGGAACAAACTAACAAATCCAACGACCTGTGGCTGAGGGCTTGCCGTTCTTACCAAAAATGGAAGCTAGCTAGCCCTCATTGGTGCAGGTCCTACTATTTGCTTCGGTGGCTCTATACCTTTTGGCTCCTCCTCTTTAGCCAGTTTACTAATGCCTATATCCAGTCGGCCAGCTCAAAACCCTGACGCTACACCCTGAAACCTAACATTAATGACTGAACCATCAACCTAAACCCTGAAACACTAAGACCCAGAACCTGAACCCCAAATCCTAAAATCCCTCCAACCTATTCCCCACGCCCGACCCTGTGGCCAAACTTCCAACCCGAGTTGGGGTTCAGGATCGAACGGCTATGGGAAAGGTCAAGTACAGGTCCCTGCACCCAACCCAAGAAAACCACACCATGTGCATCTAATATAGGGACCTTAGCAGTTAGATCCGGGCGTGAGGAGCATACTTACAGTATTCCAGTTGGGGGCTGAAAGGGGGTAATGTTTGAAATTCTTCCGACCGCCTCATATCGACGAGGCTATATTAGCCTACGTGCGAATGATGTAGGTGCCGGAAAACCGCAGTAAGCCCTAAACCCTAAACCCAGTGAGCCATAAATCCAAGCCAGCGGCAGGGACAAAGAGCGTCGAGGCAGCGAACTGCTCAGCGGAAAGGAAAGGCTCGAACATGTCCAGCTCCTGCGTCCAGGGCTTCAGGTTTTCGGGTTTCGCCGGAAAAAGGCATCCCTAACTGTCCCTATAGCTGCTTCAATAAGACACATCCTCCATTTCGAGATGTTTCTGGCAGGTTCGCCCTCAACTGCACAACCACAAGGCACGTAGCATCCTGGTGTTCGAACACCACGGGGATGCAGCCAAGCGCCATCGAGTCCTCGGGCATCGGATGTCCCAGAGCCCAGAGCAAATACCGATGTGACGTACCCAAGGATTGAATAGATTCGGAACGGCAAGCCGATTTCTCAACGAAGTCTTCAACACTGCCTTGTAACAGTGGTAATTCTCAATGTCCGCACACCGTACGCCTCGTCACTGGAGCAGTACAAGTACAAGTAACAAGGCCAGCACCACAAACAGGGGGCTAGATTCTAGATCACTGCCGAAACGGAGGTCTGTCCATTCACAAAGCAATTCGAGGACTTCGGGCGTCCGTTCTAGCTGTGCAGATCCGCGATTGAACCTCGCAAAGAAGAGGCCTTCCTCAATCATTCTGGGGTAGTGTAGTGTAACCAAATTATAATTTCGGCCCCTCTCTCTCGCTCTCTATATATTTGCTAAGCATGAAAACGTCTCTCCACCAGATCTTGGACCGTCCTCCCTGCACGACAGCTGTACACTGCACACTGTACAAGGTCTGGGTCATGAAGTCGAGTTGGAGGTCGGTGAAAGCTCAAAGCTGAGCGAGCAAAAGCATGGCGCTACGTGCCCGTCACTTGCACATCGTGTCTTGTACACAATGCACACTGCCTTCATCCAATGCTGCTTGGATGTACCTCTCTGAACCCACCGTCACAAACTCCCGTGCAACCTCCCTGGCTTTGACACGCTTTGCCACATCCTCAGCGGCGGCGCCAGCACCCAACATGGGACCAGCGCAGTGGTCCACTGTGGCTTCAACATCCGCGAGTGTAAGCGCCGCCCAGACGAGAGGCCATATCAAGGCGTTCCGGTAGTCGTCTCTGAGACGCTCCATTGGGTATGAGGTGCCGGACACATCACAAAAGACTTGTCTGTACAATGCCAGCAAATCATCTTGCCATTCACGACGGTCGGAAACGGACAAAGAACCACTCAGAGTGTAAGCCAAATCCAGGGCCCCAGTCCCCCTTGTGACATTTTGCCAATCGAAAAGCTTCACTCGTCTTTTTCCGTCATCGCCGGACTTGTCCTCTTCGAAAAAGGCATTTCCCTGCCGCGCATCCATGTGGACGACTGTTTCTGGGCCGGATAGCATCACCGAGTCGATCGCGAACTCATAGAAGCCGGGTTTCGCTGCAAGCTGGAGCATCTCGAGCATCTTTCGTGCATGCTGCAGTTCGACTGCCGGTGACGCGGCCTGGATCTTCTCTTCCGTGACTTTGAGAACGCTGCTTCGGAACAAGTCCGGCAAGCCGTGCTTCAGAAGATGTCCATCTCGGCAGTCCTCCAACCATGGCAGACTGTCCTTGCCACATGGTTGTTATGGAGGGGCTTTTTGAAGTGACATGGGGATGCCTTACTTGCGGTCTTTCATACCCAATCGAGTCGCCAGGGTTTGGCCAGAAGATTTCTAAATACAAGTTAGGGATACCATCCATATATAGATAGATAGGTAGATAGATAGATAGATAGATGTCAAGTGGCCTTGCCCTTCAGACCCCAAGCATGAAGTCGAGCGAGAACTTGGATCAAAGCTTCAGCTTGGCATCGAAGAAGTCCAGAGTTCGAGCCGGTCCGCCAACCATCCTCTCTGGCATGGGTTCTCTCCCTCTTATGGAGCGCTCTACTTCGGCGCTGCGGTAGTGTTGCGACTAATCTTTTTCGAACGTCGCCTCAACCCTCAAACCTGTAAGACCTCATCTCAAAGGAGACAGAAATCCTGAAACCTTCCAGACCAATTCAGACTGACTCCTTCACAAACTCCAGCACGATGACCGACATGTCGGGGCGGATATCAACGGCATGAAGTTCCTGGCTCAATGCTTGCTGGAAAACGCCAGGCGAGCGACGACAAGAAGAACACAAGCCTAGAAGAACACGCGCTTAGAGACCTAAGTCCCGAACGTCCTCACACCTCGATTGCGCAAGGCGTTCTCCACCCAACACATCCTAATTCCCTGAAGGCACCTACACCCGAAAATCTTGAACTCCAGAGTCCGAGAAGATTGTAGCACTCTACACGCCAAGACCCCGAAAAGAAAAGACCTTCGGGAACCGAACGCTACACACCAACACCCTACACTAACCCAGAGAGCCCGCGAAGAATCGGCATAGAACCACCTATCCCGACACCCAGAGGGCCCTTATGGAAACTAAGAAGTCTCGCGCTCTAATCTTATCGAACCCTATACGGCTCTTATCCCCAAAGGCCCAGGGTCCAGCAGGCCGATGCCGACTTGACGCAGCTCGCGCCAAGCGCTTTGGTAGAATAGCGCCTCCTGCGCACGGCTCTGGGGCGGGGGGGGGGGGGG